TGAAATCTTGCCAAGAAAACTGCAGGGACTTGTCCAGGCAGTCACCAGGAGTCAAGACTGATTTGAAGACAAAAAAAGAAAAAAAAAATAGTAGTTGAGACTTCTGCCCTTAACAGTTACCCGAGATGCTTTTGCAGATTAGCCATTGCTTGGGAAGAGTTGCTTATATCTGGTAAATTTAGCCCTTTGGGTAATCCCTAAATAGAGTTTCTCTCTCTTTTCTTTCCTTCAATTATCTTTTGCTTTCACCTCATCTCTCCATATTTCTCTTTCCTTACCAGTACTACCCCTTCTCTTCACTGCTCACCTCCATCTGTAATGAGAAGAAGGAATAACCTTGAGAAACAGGAAGAAGAGCTGCTACCAAGACAACAGTCAGATAAAAGAAAACTGAGTCCGGGACAGAACTGTAATCCAAGTAATCGTCTCAGACAAGACCCTCCCTAGTTCTCATGAAGATAAAGGGGGGGGGGATTCAGACTTGCAAGTTTCTGTTACTGTAATCTTACAGCTCTTCCTCCTGTTCCTCAAGGTTATTCCTTCTTCCCAATTACACCATCAACTTTTCTTCTTCTTCCTTTTGGTTGTTTCTACTAGAAGGAGACAGAGAAGGGGATGTGTATGTGTGTATTGGTGGTGTTTCAGAAGAGAATAATACAGGCAGGTGTGGAATTAAAAAGTTATATAAATTAGGCACCGTTTCCGGTTATTCCTTCTTCCCAATTACACCATCAACTTTTCTCCTTCTTCCTTTTGGTTGTTTCTACTAGAAGGAGACAGAGAAGGGGATGTGTATGTGTGTATTGGTGGTGTTTCAGAAGAGAATAATACAGGCAGGTGTGGAATTAAAAAGTTATATAAATTAGGCACCGTATCCCCCCCCAGACAATGCATTTTATTTAGTAGCTATTAATCCATTTATTTGATTTGATTTGCCTTTGTCTTTTTGAGGGGAATGTTAGTGTAATGGTGTACATGTATACAGGCAGATACGTATATGCATAGGCAAGTGTGAGACATGTGGATATATACTGGGGAGACCTCCAGGACTGGTTTCAGCTAGGATTCCCAAGGTGTAAAGGACTGTAGAGTTGAGCTTGGGCACAGGAAAGGAGTGAAAAAGCTGTTAATGGGGTGGGTGGTGGGTGGGGTGGACTTGCAGAAAAGATTATACAATCCTGGGAAAGAGAGAAGTATGACAAAAAGTCAAAATAACCTTGCCTTGATTTTCTTTGGTATAAGATGGGACAGAGAGAAACTTGGACAGGCTTTCAAGATTGATGTCAAGGTAGGTCAGATGAAAAAACAAATTTCAGCATGCTCTTTTATTCACAAGGAGCATTTCTGGAATCTCTACTGTGCCTGTTTTTTCCCTGTGCCAAAAGTCAACTCTAGCATCCTTTACACTAAGAGAGGAAGCTGGACACTGCATAGGATTTTTGTTTGTTTGTTTTCATATTTTTTCTGACTATTCTTCTGGGTGTAATGGAGAAATTATTTTTACAGACTTTATTTCCTTTAAGATAATGCATGCAGTAAGTGTTAATATTATTTATTACAAAATTAATTATACTGAGGCTTTGTGGTATTCTGCTAACACCAAAGTCCTGTTTAACTGAACAGAACATAAAATGGAAAGTTTTAGATGTTTTTTTTAATTTGCTGAGTTAATATTCCAATACAGCATCATATTTGAGGACCAGAATCAATTTAATTTATAAACTGATACAGCTTCTTAGATATGATGCATATATTTATAAAAACTGTAAAATTGTAAGTAGCTTACTTAACACAGGAATGATACAAGGACATACTTTACCATCTCTTTCATTTAATCTTATTACTAAATCAGCCACATCAGACAAAGTAATAAAGATCTATCTATCTATCTATCTATCTATCTATCTATCTATCTATCTATCTATCTATCTATCTATCAATCAAAAACAAACAGATGGTATGCCTCTTCTCTGAATGGAAGATCTACTCCTGTTTGTGGAAGGGACTGAGATCCAGTCCATATTTCAAAAAGAGGAACATGCTTTGGAAATGACCGGGAAGAGGTGCTTTGGAGTACATGGGAATGCAAGCAGTTTTGAAATGTGCACAGGATTTATGGAGACCACCTCTTCAGTGACCTTATCAGGACTGTTAAGAGAGGTGAAGAACTGCTCACCATTCCTTGTTTGTTCAGATTTATATGTGAAGACACTGCCTGATCAGGGCTCTTATGGGTAAAAGAATCTTCTGTTCTAGCTAGAGATAAGAAACAGATAATGGAACTGCATATTCCATGAAGGATCAACTATGCAGATTGGTGTTCTTCAGAATTTGATGCTATCTCTAGAAACCTAGGAGACACTGATTGCTAGGAATATATTGCGTTCATTAATATGCCAATTTGGCAGCAATATCCCTATTTAAAGAAATTTTGCTGTAGCAAATTATATCATGATTGCATTTAGACTTGATTATTGTGGGACTGGCCTTTAAAGAATGTTTCAGTCAGTGTTGAACGCAGTCGCTACTGTGAACCAAAAACACACAGAACACATAGCTCCAACTAGTTGTCAGTTTTCAGGCAGGGCCAAGTGAAAGTGTTAGTAATTATCTTTAAAATCCTGGGAAGATGGTATAAAACACAGTAGTAGTAATAGTAGCAATACTAGTAACTTCAATTTTATATTTCTGCCAAAGGGGGAAATTATTCAAAGGGCAAATCTTAGTAAAGGCAGTTAGTTAACATTATGCAACAAAAGAGACATGACACATCACCATATGAAATTACACAGATTCAACTAGAACCATATGTGCCTACATCTTTGTATTAAGTTTCTAATGTAACAAGAAATTTAAGAAAAATATTTTTCCATTATTACATTTGGAGGTGTCTCTTTGACAAACATTTAAGAAGTTTGGAATATAGAGCATGTATATAGCTTGACTCTTATTAAATTAGCAGAGAACTGCAATGATTCTGTTACACAGATGCTTTCTTTGAAGTTTGGTTTGGCTCAAGATTTCAGTGCCCCTTTTAGGATGCTTCATAGTTAGGTAGGGCTGGAGAGCCATAAAATTTGCTGAGGCTTCAAGCCTTGATATTCTTAACATACTTTTCATAGATACTTTAGAACTCTTTCATCATCCCCTGCTAATGCTGTGATTTCTTGGGATCACAGGGGAAAAAAGCCCTTTTTCTTGATCTTTGTCTAGCAGGACCTCTGTACACTTCATTGTTTCAGAGGAACCAGATGGGAATGGCAGTCAATTACCATAAATCCTGTAAGTGCCCTATTTGCTGATGTGTAAATATCTTTTTGTTTCTTTTGAATAGCACTCATTGATCAGTCAATTAGATAAATAGGGTACACTTGTTTAGCCAGACAGATTAGGTACAGAGCAACAATGCCAAACATAGCACATACACATATGAATTTATACATGTTAAAAAAGAAGCCTACCTACATCACATTAATATTTCTGAAAGCATTCAGCATGCTGAATTGCAAATGAGCTAGGCTTAATGATAATAGAGATCTCCACAACAATAGGCATATCGGTCTTTGGTGAACAAGTTCATGTGCCACTAGTTTTTATGCAAAAAGGTCATGTGCCACCTGTTTCTATGCCTATCCATAGTAACTTGGAGAATAAAAAAAATGGTGTGAAGTAAACTAAATCCAAGACATCATCAAGCAACAAAGTAAATACAGCTAATTAATAAAAAAATTAACTGTCTCACTCACTTATGGTACAAATCAATGATTACATAAGATTACAACAAAATGCTGTGAAGGATGAGCCAATATACTAGGCTCAAGACATGCTGTCCAACAATGTTTGTAAACCACATTGAGTTGGTCAGCTTGGACAACTGGTCAGATTTATGAGTTATTTATAAATTAGTGCATACATACACTCATGATAGATCTCACTGCTGTGGAAAATCAATGAAAATCTAAACTACAAACAAGCAGAAGAAACCAGCAACACTCCAACACTGCATATAATACTTGTAAACCCCTTAAGAAACAAATTATATATAATTGTGCAGGAATGTAATTCTCATTAGATTGTTACCTGTATGAGGTGGGTGCCTCTCTGGCAGAATCAGATGCTGGAAATTAATAATGCACACAGCCTCAGCTCCTAGCCATCGGTCAGAGACAGCCCGGATATAGTATTGAGAGGGCAGTGGTTCAAAAATTGGGATTGTAAATACCAACAGTTGAGTTTCTTTTGCAATGACCTAAGGTTGAAAAGACTGAACAATTATTTCTCTTCAAATGGTTAAAATGATACTTTATTTTGTTATATAGATGTATACAAAACATAGGTAAGGAAAAAAGTAGACTGAGTTTTGACAACGAGACTCATAGATACTCTGGAAAAATTCTACTTTTCCAAAGTAGAGGTATCTTCAACTTGGGCATGTTCTAACAGATCAATATGAGCTAGATGTTTTGGCCACTTCAAAGAACCAGAGCTGCTCTCTTATTTGATGCAATCAACGGTGGAATTAAAAACTATAATATATCTCTATCAAAAGCTCACACACACTTTTAAAGTGGACATTTTGGGGATATTTCAAACATGGACTAAAGAACTGGAATCTCCGATAAAGCCCCATCAATGGATTCATGTCCTTTAAAATGTTAAAATGGTAGCAACAGAACTGAGGTTGAAATTGAATTAATCAAAAACCTGTATTGAGGTACAATGGATTCTCCAAAGAAGGTATTTGAAAGGATGGACATCAGATTTTCTATGTTGGAGGTATAAAAAATTTAAGGGTTCACTCACTCATATGATATGGTCATGTGATAATCTGGTATCTGCATATAACCAGATTTATGGGGAAATATTTAAATGCTAAAGACTTTGATGTAAGGTTGAACTATATACCAAAGCTTTGGAATCTGACTGCTTATCAGGATGCAGGGATGCATTGAGAATGGGGGTGGGGGGTGGCTGAAAGAATCATACTGAGAAGTTGGAAATATGGTGTTATTCCAGAGGTCAAGGAATGGTTGACAAAAATGTGTGATCTATTTGTTTTGGAAAAGGCTTTTTTTTTTTTTACTAATCAAACAATGTAGCAATATGTATCACTATGACAGAGATTTTGTGATATTTTATAATAATATTTTGTACCAATCGTATTACACCAGTGTATTCATTAGTAAACCAGTGACTATTTATAAATATAAAATATAGTGTATGTGTGTGTTCATTTCTTTCTTAATTTGTATTTTTGTTTATGTGGGGTTGTCTCTTTCCAATTTTTTTCAAAGCATTGTAAATGAATAAATATGAATTATAAATTAATATTTAGGAAACTATCCATAACACGTGTGTTCCATGCTGTTATGCAGCATAGATTTACCTGCTTTTTTTGAATAATAAAATATTCTGAATGATAAATATGATCATTGGTAGGATCTTCCACCCAAATCCACCAGGGTTCTCCACCTGTTCCATGCACCTATGAGGCAAAGTTAACATACAGTGTTAGAAATACATTCTCTTAAGACTTTCCTCATTTTATTTATTTATTTCACTAGGCTTATATGGCACTCTAAGTGACTCAGAGTCTGACACTCCTGACCTATGCGAGGCTGGTTAAAATAACAAAAATAATCAACAACCAACAACACTGATAATAAAATATCTCTATGCTGAGGAATATGTTACACTATATCTGTGAATAAATCATTCTGATAAATGAAAGATAGTTTACCAATCTCACAGCACCATGGTACATTTGAATTTATGTAATATAGGAAGCAAACTCTGCCTACTACATACTTGTCCTCACCCACAAGAGGACCAACAGGTTCATTTTCTTGTCTGCTTATTATAAAAGCTGCACTACATGGAATTCAGACCACAGATGATGAAATATTCAGTTCAGATTGTTTCACAAGACTGTTTAAGATGCACATATAGTAATTGGCAACAATATAGCCCTGTTTATGAACTTAAGTGAACATGAGTGAACCTGAAGATAGGGAAGGTGAGAGGTACACCACAATCTCCTTGTGTAAAGGTTAGAAGTGGAGTAGGGATATGGGACGAGGCTTCTGCATGTTCACCTGAATAAACTAATATGCTTAGCTAAAGAATGCCAGTACAGGAATCATAATTTCCATTGTGCTTCCAAGCTTATTGAAGTTACTGAGTTACAGTACATTTAAGAAACATATCCTATTATTTTATTTAGAAGACATCTGAAGGTTTTTAAGAGATAAGAAGAAATAGCAGTGCCTCCAAAGACCCTTCCAGCCCTATTATTATAGATTCTGTAAGTTACATCTAGATGAACCTACATTATCAACATGTCCTGTAGATTTTATATTCTAGGCGTTGTTACCTGATCATTCCACTTGAAATCAGGAGCGATATTTAACCTAACTCTCAGTACAGTACGGGTAATTGGCTGGATGGTTGCTTCAACTGAGATAGAGGGAATTTGCTGGACACACTGTTTGACCTTTAATCCAATATTTACATGGTGGAGCATATGACCTGCAAAGTAATATGAAACTTGAAGCAAAATAATGTTTATAAACATCTAAAGCAAGTGAAGGCAAACATACTTTATTGCTTGTCTTTTGTTGTTTCAAGGCTGTATCCAATGTTATCTGACTGTTACTCTGATCAGCCTTCCCCAACATAGGGAAGCAAATCAAGGGGAATTCTCACTGGGCAAGCAGATCTTGACACTCGATATAAACAAAGTAATATTTAACTTGAATTTGTATCTGCAGCTCAGAAAATGATTTCAGTCCCTGATTAAACACCTCTTAACAATTTAGAATAATATCACTCTTCTTTTTGCTTAGAAATATTGACCTAGGCCTGAAATCTATTATGTATTTCCCCTAAACGTAAAATTTTATCTTACTGAAGGCAGGATGCTTTCATTGCACTTTTAGAATCCCAAGACATGTTATGTCATATACAGAAAATAGAGTTTTCCTGAGGGGCATTGCTCATAAATTAAGTTTGAGTAAAAAGCACCCTGGGCAAGGATATACTGAAAAATGTTGAGATACAGAATTGCCACCTTCTTCATAGTCACTGGGAGAAGAAAACAGTTTTGTAACAGAACTCTAACTTGAAAAGAAAAGCAGCAGATGTACACCATGTGGATTCCAGGCCCTGGGCAAGGAAGCAATCAGACCGAAAACAATGACCACTGGTCCCTCTACTCCAGGACTGTCTATAGTTGGCAATTGTCCAAAGTCTCAGGCAGATCTCAGCCGCCAGATTTTGAACTCGAGATTTGAAGCCTGGAATATTCTAGATGCAAAGGATTCAGCTAGGGGCCCCTAATAGGTTACAAAAGAAAAGGGGGATATGAATGGTGTCAACAGCTTTGAATGTTTATGCCAAAAGCTTTTATTCTGAGCTTGGACAGAACAGGGAGTTTTATAAATAAAATGGAAAGTATTAAAATAAATTAACATTACATTTTATTAAGGTTCACATGCAGGGAAAGGGCAGCAGTTGGTATCTCCAGATGGAGCTGGTCGGTGTATATATAGTACTAAACTAGATGAGCCAACAGTCAGATTAAGACATTCCTACATCCTTAAGCATAAAGTAGTATGCTTGTGGGTGTTAGTTCACTACAATTTAGGTTCAGGGCATTGTGCCAGAGAAGTATCTTTTCAGCTTCTGAACCCCTAGATGTTGGCTCTACAGGGGAGCAGCAAGAGGAACAGAGTGTAAAATATTGAGATGCATTTATTTCCCCTGCCACCCCTTGCATCTTACCTATTTCATCTTTCCTCATGTCCTTCAACTTATCAATTGTGAGATTCTTTTGTTCCAGCTTGGTGAGGACTGGTGGTGGCAGGACAGAGAACTGCCGCAAAGGGCTGACCCAACCCCACAGTCGCTTGTCGATAACCTTGCTGAGATTTAGCAGTCGGTATGTCATTGCAGGCCAACGCTTACGAAGGGATATTTCAAAAAGAGCTCGAACAATGCGTGCAGCATTCTGCCAAATAAAACATTGGTAGCACACTGTGTTACATCTATTCCACTGCCACGATGTTCACTGGCTTAACTCAGAAAGTCACAACGATAGCTGGTATTTGGGACTTTCTCTGTTACAGAACTCACATTGTGAAAAGTCCTACAGAAAGATGTAACTGGGAGTTTCACATTTTCCAACACTAGCTGGAACCAACTTTGTTTTGCATGGCATTTTCAGATGCTAGCTGGCACTAGAGAATTCTTCTTTTTTTTGGCAGCATATAACAATAATTTTGTTTCTATTTGTTCATTAATGTCTTTTTTGTCTTTGTACATCACTTTAAAACAGAAAAAGGATTCCAAAAATACTCTTTGCAAACCAACAAAATAATCTGGGTAGCCACTGAGAATTGTTGGGTATATACTATAACTCTTATTCCTATTTAACAACAGTCAGAACCAGCAGGTTTCCTGAATTATGGGAATGTACTCCATAGCCCTCTGCAGCACTTACGGATTTCATTACAGACAGACAAGAATTCTTTGGGACACAGAGTCAGTGTGAGAAAGATCCTCTGTGGATTTGAAGCTGGAAAGCTACAGTTTTTAAAACAAAAATACTATTCCCAGTTTCCAATTCTAAATTGCTTGACAATTGAATATGGGCTTAAACACACAGACTTCTGGTTTTCTGTGTATCTTAGGTAAGTCATTGATAGAAGAAACAAATAAGTTTTACCTGTGCAACATAAGCAGAATCTGAAATTAGGGAAAAGCTATCCATCTCTCCTCGGCTAACGTATGTTTGCAGAAGGATATTTATTTTCCCGTAACTGTTCTCCACACCACCAGGTGCAGGAAGTTCACAGAAATTGCTCAGCAAGGCTTCCAGCTCTTCTATTTCTTCTTCTCTCACCTGAAATACAAATTAGTGGACTTTGAAAAGGCTGGTGCAACTTGTTAAATCTTCCACATGCAAATTAAATGTCAATTATCTCTCAATAAATGTGTTTTTAAACATTCTACAGTTTCTGAAAAACAAGTCTCCCAGCACTGTACTTAATGGAGCCTAATTGAAACAATCTTAATAATGACACAATTATATTTCATTATGCATCACCTTTTATTAAGATTGCCATTGACAGATAAAAATGTGCCTCACAAATTAAATCTTTTGACCATACCATCCTTCACCTGATAAGATTTCCCTTTTTATCTGACCTCTAGTCTTTCTGGATTAGGGCAAACTTGAATTAACTTTAAATGCATTCATTAAAATTGTATAGTTTGCACGGGGCATATTATGTTTTTAGCTCAAAACTCTGAAGTACTATGATTCACGATATTAAGGCTTTCACTGTTAATAAGATTAAGTCTTAATACAAGTAAAGATATATTCATATCTACAGTTTGAATAATGCATAGTATTTCAATTTCTCATTCTTACTTGCAAAACAGCAATGAATTTACATATTCTTTGATTTCCTGAAAGATCATTAGCCTAAAACTTATTTAAAGAAGGCACATGTTTGCACTTGATGGGAATCACCTGAAGGCCATTTCCATCAAGCACTGACCATTTATGCAATATGAAAGCTAAGAAGAAAACTCACAATAAATAATTTGAACCATTTTCAGGATTCTCAATCATTCCCCATCTTTCTTACTTAAAAGGGACTCAATTTTGTTAGCAACTGAATGATTGGACTTTGTATGTTGGCACATGTTGTTAGCTCTGGTATGAAAAAAAAATCAATGGCCAATCATGTCAATCAGTGGCCTGATCAGAAACAGCTATCCTATCCTTCTATCTTGTCAATTTTGTCTATTAAAAAGGAGAATCTCATTGCCTATTGGTCAGACCATGTATCCCATTTCAAAACAGATTCGGGAGGCTGCAGTGGCTGTTAACTCTAAACCAAGCAAAACTAGTCAATGAAGTCCCATACTCTTACTAGGTCAACGCAAGGGACCCCTACCCCATTCTTCACTTCTTAAAATACTGTCAGAAGATATTTATTTGTAATACTTTGGGTTATACTAATTGTTGATACAATTTAATTCAAACTTTAGTGAATTAAAACCAAATTTAATACAGATTTTTTTTCTTAGATTGGGAAAAAGACTTTCTGCAATTAAAATATTTGGTTTATAAAAACATTCCAAAATCAAAAAAGTTCAAGCTTGAAATGACCCTTTTGACAGTTCCAAACCTGGAGCAAAATGTGATAATTTTCAGTTGTGTTGCTTTGAGAGTTTCAAGCTGCAACTGAGTTTTTCCTTTGTGGCTTGTGATCAAGTTAGTGTTTAACATTTCCCCTCAGCTTTGTTGTACCCTAGCAGGGAGTTTTAGGGCATGTTTAAATATAAGTTCTGCTGATTTGGAGTACTGGAACAATATTTTTGTTTTTGGCAATGTTAGTTATTATTCATGCAAGAGGAAATAAGCAGCATAGCCACAAATCCAGTGAATATTAATAAAGTAGATTTTTTTTTGCTGGATTTGTACCTCTAAGGCAGGCATGCTGCCAAAACCCTACCAATTAAATATGCCCAGTAGATGAGTTTTGGTCCTTGCTGCTCCCTTCAAGCAAACCTTCAGAAAAATAAGCAAAAAACTGATGCAACTGTGTCCTATGGTTTTTAGGTATTAAACTTTATTTAAAGATCAATCTTCTGCAGACTGCTAATGCAGACTCTGGTATTCATTACAATATCATGAACATCCCTTATATATTTCATGAGAGTGATATGTGTGTGTGTACATATATACTATATGTAGCTGGCTTAATTCAGTGCTAAATTACTGTACCCAACATATACAGGCCTCCATGTGTATAAAGCATGTCTAGATGGGCTTAATGCAAAAATGTAACAACTTCAGGAAATCATAAACTCTGTTTCTATATTTCACTGAAAACAGAGATTCAGACTGAAAAAAAAATGAAAAATGAAAAATTTTCCATCTTCAAGCAAGTTTGGTTGCTTCAAAGCTGTATGTTTGCCTTGCAAGTGATTTTTCTAAAGAACTAAGAAGCAGGGACTTCATGGCTCTACCTGACTGGTTCCAGCACCTGAGAAAAAGGAGAAGGGAAAAGCAGCTGAAGAAGCTGCAGAAATTTAAGTGAGACCACCATTGAGATAAGCATGTTCATTAGAACAATATTTGCATAGGAACATTTTCCAGAAATATTTTGATTCAGATTTTTTCAGAAAACTGCATCTCTGACTAAAAACACATCAAGACAAACTATATAAGGCTCTTTCAGGGCACTCACAAAAAAGCTTTTAAAAAAGAATTATGAAACATTCTAACCTTGATTTGTTCAAATTCTTCGGCTTTAGATACAATAGCAAGAATGTCACCTTCTGTTTTATGAGCATCGAACAGTTCATTGAAAGTCTGCAAAACCAAGAAGCTTCAGTCTGCTGTTTAAAACATAACTTAGAAATACACTCCCTTCCACCCAGTAGACATTAAATAAAGATAGAAAGGAACAAATTATACTGTAAGTAGCAATTTTCACCACAAAAAAATACACTATTTTTAACTTTGAAAAAAAAAAGCAGCTTTCATATTCTATAATTTAAAATGTCATATTGAACTCTGCTATGACACTGAAATCCAGACGGTTTTTATCTGGAAAAAATAACAGCCAACATAGTTGGCATTAAAAATAAATTTAACAGCCAACATGGTTGGCATTTAAAATAAATTTAAGCTACCCTTATTGAAATGCAAATTGATTCAATTACCAGGACAACAATGAATGGATTTAAAGTCCATTGAAAAATAAACAAAACTCAAATAAGATTCACAGAATGTCTCTGAAATTCAGAAAAATAAATACCATCACTTTTAGAGGTGCATTACAAGTTCAAAGGTGCATGCGTACTCCTTGTATGTAGGTAAATACTATAACAGATGTTTTAAGAATATAAACGCTTCCTATAAGTTGCATTTTTATGAAATTATTCTTGCGATTTTAAAATCCTCCTTTATTATAAAATGTGAACTATTAATGTAGATGTGCAATCACTTTCTCTGCACTGCAGTTTAAGAGCATGTTAAGGCACAGAGTTAAAAATTATTACCTAAACAAAGATAAAAATGTTGTTAAATATAATGCCATGCTTTTGTTTCATAATATAACAAATTATAGAGAATGTTACCTCAATTGTATTATATTTAATGTAGTAGTGGCTTGCAATTCTGCCTAAATCAGTTGAAGAAAAAAATCCAGTTCTCTCTTCAAACCGAATCATCCGGGCTCTATCCAGTTTTCGGCCGACTTCAATCACTAACTGTTCTCTGTGCTTCTCTAAACTTGGATCCATCTAAAATACAATCAGGCACTCCATGTTATGGATGAGTGGATGTATAGGAGAGAAGGTAAATATATCTCCCCTTGTGGTCTTAATTTTTTCCTCTGCTTCAGCAAAACACATAATGATGGGCACATTTTAGTGGATTTTATTGTTGAATTAGTTGATTAGGATAAACTGTCGATTGGGAATACTTAAAATATTTGTTAAGTTAGTTCAATCCTCTTATGGTGGCATAACATTTAGAATACCCTACCTGTGGAGCCTGAAAAGAGATATGGAATCCTCAAGGTAAATTAAGAAAAAAAGGGTAGAATTATAGGTGATTCCGAGGACTAGTGCCTTATGGTCCTAACTCTGTATTTCCAGAAGATACTGGGGTTTAGGCTTTCTCTTTAAGAGTGAATCCACCCTTGTGAAATGGTGAGGTAGGGAATCTTTATTTGCTGTTTATTCATTTCTGGTAGAGATGGGAATGCCCTGTCTCCATGAATTCACTAGTTACAATTAGAGGCAATTACCACAAGGTCTGCATCTTCCATGCTAAATGTTAACACTAAAACTTCAGATTATATAACTCATATTCCTTTTCTCTCTGTGGTGCTCATGGATACAGTAAAAAAGCTGTAATATTTAGCTCCCCTCTGTACAGTTTGGGCTTCTAGAAGTCTTATTATCACCTTAGAACAGATTTAAGTGTCCCCCCCCCCAAAAGAATAGCATTTAATATAACATAATATAAAATCCATCTAGGGAGCACTATTTTAATTTTATATGAATACCTGTTTGATCTAGCTTTAGTGGCAAATTAATATATGAATATATTCTTCCAGAATTTTTAGTAGGATTTGGGTAGTCATACTTTGGCTTCTAAGCTGAGATATGCACAAGGTTTTTCTCTTATTTTCAGCTCATTTAGTAGACCTGTGATTATAAACCTGCTTGCTTTACATACGTTTTCCATTCTGTGTGGTTTTGGAAGCCATAGTTACTGCCTTTAGAACAACCCAGGATCTTAAACCAACTCGTAATTATATCTTCAATATCTTGACTTCTTTCAAAACAGGCAGCTAAGTTAGAAAAATTAAGATACTTTTTCTGTTTAATCATAGCTTATATAAAGCTCCTGCCTGTAAAAGCTAAAGGCCCATGCACATTTTGGCTTAATAAGCTCCAATACAATTGTGAGAAAATGGCTTTTATACCTGTACATGGTAGCAAGAACAAACAATAATAAGCATCTGATAATATTAACTAAAATTAACAGTCTTTATGCTAACACATTTTAATACTATTTTCAATATCTGTGAATTATAAGCCTACTTAGAATATAAAAAATGAGTAACAGCAACAAAAGGAGAGAAAGTGCAGGTTTAGCAGAATTTTTTTTTAAAATTAAAATGGGATGCAAATTAAAACAAAGTTTTTAGGACTTGAGCAGAAGTTACAATTCTCTTCTAAGAATTTCTTATTTAACTGCCTCACCATAAACAGCAGAAGAAACTAATAAGGAAAATATCCCAGGAAGAAAATAGCATCAAGTGAAATCAATGTAATTTACAAATAAACTTCCTGAGGCCAAACAGAGAGAAAAGAAACTAAAAATAATTTTAGCATGATATCATTTTTTTTATGTTTCAAAACATCTGCATTCATTCATTTCTTTTTGCAATCAAGATTGCCCAGTATCACAGTCTGAGAGGTTGAAGGTAGGAAGTCACTCCCTTAAGAGTACCAAATCAAATCAATTCATGGCAGAACTGGCGTTTAGTTTGGGGATTGATAATTTATGGCTTTTTCTATGACCACTACGCAGTCGGTCGGTCGGTCGGACAGTCAGTCAGTCAGTCAGTCTTTCTTTCACTCTCTGTTCGAATGAATGAATGAATGAAGGCTTAGCAGGCATGCACTCACTGACTTTCCTCAATGTGCCTGGTCACTCTAAAATGAAGGGGGCTATTTCTCTTCATAATGTGAAAGAGTGATATTTTCAGCAGTGCTTACATGCTAAACCTTACATATTTAGGACTGCATGAGGAACTTTGAGTGTTCATTTTAGTCCTTTTTGTTTGAACGCTGGGCATGTATGAATACCTATTCTACCTATGTTTCATGACAGACTATTATGGCTGTGGTATTTATATTTCATTTTAATGTAAACCTTACGTTTAACACTAAAAAGCTGGCAGACACGGATAAACAAAAACTGCACATAGGATATATAAATATGACTAATTTGATCATGTTCCATATATTTAGCCAAACTATTGAAAACTTCATCTGTCACGATGCCCCAGAAAAATAACCAAGGATGCTCTTTTCCATGTTGTACTCTGAATATTTTCAAAACACAGAGGAGTTGCTGATCTCAGGAAAACCAATAAGGGTAAATATTTAATCTCCCATCAGGAAAGGATTACAGAACCAGAAAGCAAGTTGAGTTTTCTGCACATTTTCTACCTGATAAGCTTTGTGACTGATGCCATATACTAATGGGTTTGCTCTCATCCGTACATAAAGGTAAGTGTAACTTATCCACTTTACTGCTTCCTCAACATTTGTCACTGTTCCAAGAGCAATCTGCAAATGGGAAAAAAATAAAAACAAATTTTCATGTTAAAGAGTTAAAATGAAATAAGATTTATAATGCTCCAAGTTTTATATGAGCAGGACTGAATATTCCAGTAGAGTATTATAGCGAAACACTGAAAAGTTAACCAATGAAGTGGTTGAAATGTACTTTTAGAACAAAATATATTCTTTAGTCCACCATTTTTCTTGAAATAAGGGTAAAACATAAGTAAAATATGGAAAGGGTGGACAATTGTGTGATATTGGACTGGGTAGAGGGAACATACGTATATTTCTTTCCCTTATTTGCTGCTTGGCTGAGAAGCCTTCCACCTTCAGTTTTCTGCTGAAGGATTATATTTTTTCTAATCCCCAAAGTCGAGCACTTCTCAGAGCATCACTTTATATTCACTTCAGAAAACAGATTCTCCATTTTGTAATTACTGTGATGGAATATGTTTGCTCAACTATCCTGAACACCTGCAGGATACTGTATTCTGTATATTGGGCAAAATTTTAACAATCCATTTCATAAACAAAACAAGTTCTTCTTCATGGGAGTTGCATTCATAAAAGGATTCTTTCAGAATGAAATGTTATATCTGACTTGAGACAGACCAAATGACATTCTGAGAGTATTTCTGGAATGCAGGCAGGCAGGCAGGCAGGCTACTTCAATAGGGAACTGCCATCTATCCAAGCTGTTATATTTGATAAAGTATAATACCACTAAATCTGAAATCTGACTTGCTGGAATATCTCACAAAGGGTAGAATTAGTTGGGGCCCGCAGAAAAGCCTAAATGGCACTTCCACTTTGATAATCTTGTGCTATAGTGCACTAACTATCTA